TTCTAATTCTTTGATTTTCCTCATTTATAGGCAAATAAACAGCCCCTAATAGAGAAGGAGAGTAAAAATTGAGATTACAAAATCACTCAAACTCACCAATTAATCTCATAAGCAAAGCTCTCAATCAAACAAAACCCTAACCAATAGCTTAGAAAAACTCTTTTTTCTGTGCTCAAAACAACCCCCTTTCAACTTCCCAGAAACCCTAAATCGTGACTTGTACTTATACTAAACACAAATCCCAAACAGAACAGGAAACCATAATCTGGGCCTGACCTGATTGGCGGTTGACCACAACCAAGACAAAAACCCAGAAAACTATTACATGGTTTGGCGGTCGGTCGTGTCGGTCGATCATCACTAATTCTAGAGCCTCAAAATCGATTACAGGGATTGGCGGTCGACCACGGCAGTCGACCGTACAAAGTCCAGAAATGACCCTAAGGCTGTGCACGTTTCCGGTCGACCGACCTAGCCTCGCGATCGACCGAACAACACCAAAAATGTTTCCTGCTCCAAAATTCCTGTTCTTTTCCAATGTTTTTGCCATTTTTATAATTCTCCACCTCGGCGAAGTTTTCCCAAAACTGAGCCAACACAAATACCAACCAAACGTCTCACTTGTTGCGTCTAGTACGAAGTGGAACAAATCCACGACAACGGACTCAATCCACAATAAGGCGAGAACCCAAATGAGAATGCAAACAAAACTCCAAACACTGCTAGAAATTTGTTCATTAACCACTGAAATATAGCGACGGAATTATCCATCGCTATATGTTATCTTATAGCGACAGATTCGTCGCTATATTTCCGTCGACAAAATATTTATGCCAACGGAAATAACACGTATTGGCGACGGAAATGTTCTGTCGCCGTTAATTTCCCGACAGAATCTACCTGTTGAGAAATTTCCGTCGGTAAAAAACCTTTTAGCAATGGAAAATTTCGTAGCTAAAAAGTGAAACTGGGAAAAAAATTTGGGCGCGAGCTTGCCCAAAAAATTTGTGCAGCCCACGCCCGAGAGTAGTATTTTTCCCCAAATCCCTCTCTCATTTCCCCCTCTCTTCTCATTTCCCCCTAGCTCCCTCTCCTTATCCCCCCCCCCCCTCCCCCTTTCTCTGTAGCCGCGCACATCAACCGCCATCGCCAACTGGGCACCACTACCCACCGCTAACCCGACGACCTGCCACCCTATCACTCTCTCAAGGTACCCTCTCTCCCCCTCCATCTATCTTTCTCTCTCGCGGCCCCCTACAAATCTCTCTCTCTTCTTCTTCTTTCGCCGCGCCGACGACGTGGCAGCCGACTAACGGTGGTCGGCGTCGGCCGACAGAGAGAGAAGAAGAAAGAGAGAAATGTATGAGGTCATGGCATCTTGCTAAAATTAAAATTTAATATTTATTAATTTTATTTTTAATTATAATTACAGTTTAATTTTTGTAAAACAAAAAAATTGAAAAAAAAACCCAAACCCTAATAAGATATTGCAAAACCAAAAAATTTCCATCTTTCTAAAATTAGGGTTAGGGTTAGGTTTAGGTGAGGGTTAGGGTTAGGGTTAGGCGATGGTTAGGGTTAGGGTTAGTGTTATGATTAGGGTTAGGTGAGGTTGAGGGTGAGGTTGAGGGTTAGGGTTAGGGTTAGGTGAGGGTGGGTGTAAGGGTGAGGGTGAGGTTGAGGGTTAGGGTTAAGGTTAGGGTTAGGGTTAGGGGAGGGTGAGGGTGAGGGTGAGGTTGAGGGTTAGGGTTAGTGTTAGGGTGAGGTTGAGGGTTAGGGTTAGGGTTAGAGGGAGGGCGAGGGTTAAGGCGAGGGAAAGGGAAAGGGCGATGACAAGGACGGAGGTTATGGCGAGAGTTAGGGTTATGTGAGTGTTAGGGTTAGGGGTATAGGGCGAGGGTGAAGGTTATGGCGAGGGCGGGGGTTAGGGTTAGGTGAGGGTTTGGGTTATAGTAAGGGTGAGTTTGAGGGTGAGGGGTTAGCGTAACTATTATATCGCTAATTACATAAAAACTACACACACTGTACACTCGTATTTTTGAGCCGTAGAATTCCCCGTCCAATAAATACTATATATTATCTATTTATTTACTTGTCACATACGCATACAGGATAGTTGGAGGATACGAGACCATCATGTTCGGTTCGACAACTTTTTCAACGCGTATGTGACAGGTGACTTATATATAAATATTTATTGGATCTATCAAGTGTGGATGGGTTAGGTATGTAAACGTGGCGTGTATATGTATTTACGTGTGTTTTTGTGTACTTTCTTTTCGTACGTGTATATGCATGTGAGATGACAGCAGTTCTCACATCTTTATGTATGTTAGCTATATACTAGAAAGCTTGATAACCCCCTTTCCAATTCAAGGTTCAAATATTCACTTAGGGCCTTTTAGCCAAAAACGAACTACATGGCTAATAATTTTAAAAGCATTATATTAAGGGGGTCAATGTGCAGTTGTCCCTAAATTCGTTGTTTTTTTGGATAAATAAATAAGAAGAAAATGCTTCTAACCCTAAAAATCAAGAAGCAAATTTGCAGCCATCTAAGGCTGGGTAATAAGGTAAAAACCCCATAAATCCACAAATCGATGCCACCTAAATAATACTTTTCCTTTTCCCATTTTACACCTAATTAATGCCCCATGTGAAACTTTCTAGGGCAGGGTGAGATTCTCTTTCTTGAAAATCGAACTCACAGATTTTTGTTTCTTCAATTGTTGACCTTATACATTTGTTGTTAAGCTTATGAGTTGTTGAGCTTTTCTGTCAGTTGTCAACGTTATGCATTTATTGTTAAACTTTTGGTTAATTGTTAAACTTATGCATTAGTTGTTAAGCTTTTTCTTCAGTTGTTAAGCTTATGAATTGGTTGTTAAGCTGATGTATTTGTTGTTAAGGTTTATGTCAATTATTAAGTTTATGTGTTTGTTGTTACACTTTTTCGTTAGTTGTTAAGTTTACATATTGGTTATTAAGCTTATGTGTTTGTTAAGCTTTTTCATCAACTACTCAGTGTAACCATTAGCTATTAAGCATATATATCTTGTTAGGTTTTAAGTTTATGCTTTTGTTGTTAAGTCTAGTCGTCCCTGTATATGTATTTCTCCCCTCAACTATATATTTGGAGTCATCTTCAACGAAATCACCAATTAGAAAAATTATCTTTAGAGATTTGGTGTTTTCAGCCATTACATAGAAAAATTAAAGCAATCCCTAGTTTTAAGAGATTTAGAGGGAGAAAAAAGGGAATCTTCTTCAAGATGAAGAGAATAAAAAATGGCCAATTAATTGAGTTAAGGATATGATTAAGGGGAGAAAGAAGAAAGAGATGAGAGAGAGAGAGAAAGATGTACGACGTTTAGTGCATGATATTATAAGTTGGATACATTACTAACTTCTGAAAATGTTTAATTATTTTCTTCATATATCTTTTACATTTACTGCAAGATATTATAAGTTGGATATCCCATTGTATGTGCTCTTGTGTTTGGATTTGTGCCGTTATTTTGGTTGTTTTGGTCTTTATCTCGACGTTTGGTTTGATTTGGTTCTCGAAGCACGCCCGTTTGTTTGTCCCACTTCCGCGCCGCGCGCAACAAGATATTATAAGTTGGATACATTACTAACTTTTGAAAATCTTTAATTATTTTCTTCATATGTTTTTTACATTTACTGCATGATATTATAAGTTGGATACCCCATTGCAATTTGCATGTGCTCTTGTCCAATTCTAATAATGCCGAATTCTTGTCTCCATTCTATATAAGAATATATCAAGATGTACGATGTTTCATAGAAGAGGGGCTAGGATTTAATTCCCACCGCCAAAAACACGTAGGATGGGACCATAAATAACTTTCGTAGCTTTGTAAAGTTTAGTCTTCACCAACAACAACATTTCTTAGCATTAAACCAAGTCTTAATATCATATTTTGATTCCCTAGAGCGCCTCTGTAATTAAATCTAATCAAGTTCGATTATTGTTCAAATTATGTCCAACTAATTATCCAAAACAGGTGATTTTTTTTTTTTGGTGAATGAAAAATTTTATTCACTACCAAAAATGTGAAAGTTTAGTACACCTCAAGATACTCAGATTAGCACAACATATCTGAGTAACAAACAAAAAGAAATCTACAGACCCCCTTAACAAAAATTACAACTTCCACCTTCAGGGCTATTGAGAACAATATATAATATCGCCATTTTAATTTCTTTGATCACAGCATCTGCACCTTTGCTTTTCTCTTGAAACAGTCTTCTATTCCTTTCTCTCCATAAAATGTAAACTGTAGTGACCATAGCCATTTTCTTAAGTTTTTGAGTTAAACCCTTACCTCTCAGACAGGTAGAGAACCAGTGTACACATTGGTTCCAATTACAGGATTTCCATCTACTTCGGAGCCAATCCAACACACCATTCCATATATAGCATGAAAAGGGACATTCGAAAAACAAGTGATCCCTGGATTCCAACGAAGCAGAGCATAGGCAGCAGGAGTTAGAGTTTGCAATCCCCCACTTCAAAATTCTGTCCTGTGTCAATAATCTATCCTGGATTGCTAGCCAACATATAAAAGAGTGCTTAGGGATATTCAGTCTCTCCCAGATAAGCTTCGACCATGCTACATTATTTGCACTTGGATACAAGCACTTATATAGGGCAGAGAGTTTTATTTTTCCATCCAAAACAGGTGATTAATTTGGATTAGTTTGAGCTTACTGGGTTTAACCAAACCAAGGTCCTAAGCCCAATTGAAATATATTTTTTCAATTACTGACTTCTGAAACTGTTTAATTATTTTCTTCATATATTTTTTACATTTACTGCATGAGGTTATAAGTTAGATACCCCATTTTGTTTAACCAAACCAAGGTCCTTGCACTACTCTTGTCCAATTCAAATATTGCTGTGCTCTTGTCCAATTCTAATAATGCTGAATTCTTGTCTCCATTCTATATAAAAAATATCAAGATGTACGATGTTTGGTTCTCAGCACTTATAAATACCCCCCTCAGCCTTAGATAAAGTTAGCAACATCGAGGAAGGGGTGAAGATAGCAGGTGAAGGTATTGTAGTTTTAGTATATGGGTTTCTCTATTGCTTTGCATGTTTAACACTGGTTCTTTAATTACGATATGATTTTTGTTTAGGCATTATATCAGAAAACCCCCCTTAGGTTTAGGGGTTATCAGCAAACCCCCTTAAATTTTAAGGTATTATATAAAAAAGCCCATAATGGCGTTATCCCTCATTATTAAGGGTGCACTCGGTCCGGATGCAGTTCAGATATGATGCTTACCATATCCATATCCGTTTACCCATCTCGGATACGGATACAGATACAGATATACCTCGGTAAGAAAAATTTATAACCATATCCGTTAAAATCGGATATGGTTACGGATATACATGCGGATATATGAGCGGATATGCATGCGGAAACAAAACGGATATGAACAAACTAGATAGTATGGAGAAAAACATAGTTCATGTGATACAAAAGAGTTTGTTAATATGTTCATTATAATTGAAAAGTTAAGATTAGATATTTTGATCATCAAAATTAATCACAAATCCATAATCTAATAATGTAAACTATCGTAAGAGTATGACTAATATGTATTCGGATATTTCGGATACGGATAAAGATATTTCACTACAAAACCATATCCGTAACCATATCGTATCGGTTATAGATTTGACTAACCATATCCGTATCCTAACGAATATAGTTGCGGATATTTCCTCGGATACGGATACGGTTTAGCACCCTACATATTTTTTGTGGGCGAGCTTTTCCTACAAGAAATAAGATTAATGTGTAAAACTAAATTTTAAATTTTTTCATTACGCAGGGGTGAAATCCGTAACTGGGGAGTGTTTCTGTTTGCTGAGAAATTGGGATAATAAGGGATAACACAGTTAGGGGGGGTTTGTGATAAAACCTTAAAGTTAAAGGGGGTTTTCTGATAACCCCTAAACTTAAGGGGTTTTTTGATATTTTAAAAGTTAATGGGGGTTTCTAATAATCATTTAAAGTTAGGGGGTTCTGATATTAAGCCTGTTTTAAGTGAAGGTTGAGAATAAGTGCAAATTTCATCTTAGTGTATGAACAAATTATAATCATTCAGGTATCATCAGATGTTTATCATTAAACCATTAAAGCGTAGTGAGAGAGCTCAAATCCGGCAATTATCTTGATTATTGTTAGAGATCTCTTCCACTCATCAAATCTTTGGAGTATCTAGATGGGCTAGGATAATGTATTTGGACCCAGTTCAATCAAAATGAATCCTATTTGAATCATGAGTCCAAGCGTACTTAACTATGTAGTATGTATCTTCTAACTCTATTTGCAATGTTTTCATAACCCCCTCCCCACCCCCCAACCCCCCCTTCCCCCAACGCGACGAAACTCACACAATCGTCTGGTCGTTTCCGTTTTAAGATTAGTCGTACAATTATCTAGTGCAGGGAGTGAGAAAATGGAGGCCAGCCAGATCAAATCCATAGAGATCAGCCTTAGCTATGCTCTGACAGCGGGAAACTACGTGAGCAAGATCGAGACGATGCGTCAAGAGAACGCAGCAACTTGGTGTCGCAATCGCCCTGTACTCCCCACCGTACTCAATGAAAAGGATCCTGGTTTTCTGAAGAATCTCACTTGGTACGACGTTGTACTTGCTTCCGATGGCGGGAAGACGGTCAGGCTGAGGATCCGACGCGATCAGCTCTACTTACAGGGTTTTTGCCTAAACAACGACGGTAAATGGTTCGAGCTGGGAGATCAGCACCTGATCGCTGAAAACTCAACACTTCTTCGTTACGGGCATAACTACAATGACCTGTTACGCGCAGCTGGCTTGGAGACAACAGGAGGTCTCACTAAACTCACCTTTGGGCGTGAGAAGCTCATATACGCGGCACAATGGCTTCAAACCCCAACAACTGACGTCAAGAAAACTGCCCAAGCGCTGCTCATTGTGATTGGCATGTTCTGTGAGTCTGCGAGGTTTATTCCGATTAGTAGCTATTTTAGGAGGACATGGCAGGAAAGCAAGAACGCCCCCGCTTGGGTCGATACCCTGGTCCATCGGTGGGGACAGCTCTCTGGATGTTGTTTGTTCTATGATGCTGATCCTACCTATAAATGGGTTCCTCAGAAACTTGTGGTTGAGGGACCAGCACCGAATTATGATCCAGTAACGGTTGTGGCTAAAACCATGGTTGAACTGCTGGAATATCTTGGCATACTGCAGAGGGATCCGAGTACTATCGTTGCTCCTAAGGCACAGGCTGTGGCCGAGTGATATCCTGTGGGTTTAAATAATAATGCTGTATATGGAATAAATGTGAGCCTGCTAAGGTTTCCATGGGTTCGGAGTGATGTTGTGCTCCGGGTGAAGTCTGAAGTCTTTTTTCTGAGTCACGTACTGTAATGGGCAACTAGTCTTTTGCATGAATAAATAAAGCTGTGCTTGCAGGTCTTAATTTGGTATATGCGACTGTCACAAGAAACATGTGTTGATCGTATGGGTAAGAAGCTCCAGACCTAATTAGACTAATTTATATGGGCATATGAAAGTGAGTGGGCGTCAATCATACAAAAGATTGCTCACTTAGGAAAAGTTCATTCAATACTTATTTTGAGAACTTAATCGTTTTCAATTTTTCCGCTCTCAAGAGTCTCATCTGCAACCAAAACTAGCCTCCTCTCTTTCTATTACCACTTTGCCAGCAAAAGGCTCCGTACACAGCTTTTTTCCATTTAAAATACACATTTTATCGTTATTAAAATTATTATTTTTTTGTCTAATACTCATGCTTCGTAATCTGATCGCCAATCCTTTAAAGTTTATTGCTTCTCAACTTCTTTCTACAAGAAATTTTCTAGGAGCAAATAACATGGGTGCTATTAATTTCTGCAGGATGGATGTAAAACATTCTGTCTTATAAACACTGCATGTGATGGAAAATCTTGTTTCGTGGAAGCCGATGTAAATGTTCTGTTGTACCAGTGATTAGTGTATTCATTCCCATACAAGATGTAAACATTAAACTGGCTTTGCGTATTGTAATATCTTGGTTCATATTATTTATCACTTGTACCGTAAAATTATCTGTGCAATCAGGGTTTTATGTTGAAAAAATATGTGATACCATGACTTATTTTTATTGCTTTCCTTACCTTTCTCTGCATCTTTTGCATCTACTCTCATCTGATTATTCTCCAGTTTCATCTTCGTTAAAGCAAAACCACAACAAAGTAAATAACTTTCTTTAAAGAAAATTAACGGCAAATTAGTATGGGGTTGCAATAGCTCAAGCTCCTTGATCTCCAATTTTCCTTGTGGAAAGATGAAGAAGATGATGCCTTGATCATTCTTGGTTCTTGAACTGATTTCTTGAAAGATTCTTTAACTTAGAAAACTGTACGAGAGTGAGGGAGATAGAGAAGAGAGAATTTTGTAGATAGTTAAATCTGATGACAAAAATAAAGCAACTTTTTGGGTGATGAAAATATTATTTATTAATGTTATAAAAATGTTTCGTGGAACATAAGACGCATGCAGATACAATACAATTTGTTGGATAGCAGGTTCTTAATCTATTTTTGTAACATGAAGTTATTAGGATTCCTAATCAGCTTTGGTAACAGATTATTAAGATTCCTAATTTGTTTTGTTTTTGGTTTTAGGATTCCTAGTCTGTTTTGATTTTAGGTTTTCTATATATATGGAACGCATTAGAAGAGATTAGAATCATCAAAATAAGGAGAGTTGTAATCAGAGATTAAAGAGACTTTTTGAGCATTGTGAGAGAGAGATACTGTGAGCAAGTTGAGAGCTTTGGTTGAGGGTTAGTTTGTGAGTTTTGTGAGATTGTAACCCTTTGTACTCTCCTTGATTTAGTGGAATCTCCCCATCCTCTCCCCGTGGACGTAGGCAAATTGGCGAACCACGTAAAATTGGTTGTCTCGCGGGTTGTATGATTTATAATAGCTTATTTAGGTTCCCTCGACCGGTCAGCCCTAGAACTGATGAGAGAAAGAGCTGATATCCCACTTTGTTGAGATATTTTACTTTTGGTTCTTGTTTCCTTCGTGAAACAGGAATTTCCATTGCGACCTGACTCTCTTGTTGTTGCGCCGAGGTGCTGTTGAAATTTTTGCTGTGCGCAACAAGTGGTATCAGAGCCCATATTTCAGATCTAGGGTTTTTTGGAATTAGGTGGAGGAAGATTCATGTGTGAAGCTTGGTTCTTGGAGTTCTAGGTTTCGGTGGAGATAGCATTAGGAGTTACCGTTGGAGATTTCGCTTTTCTCGTGTGGACATGAGATCTATTTAGAATCTGATCTAGGGTTCAGTTGGGTAATTCTTAATTTCTATCAAAGTTTGATTCTTTCTCTACAACTTGGAGTTAGTTTGCAATGGGAGAAGAAGGTGAAAGCAGCAAGTCGATGGCGAGTACAGTTCAAGTTAGTTTTCAGAACACTAAAATTAGTGTGGTGAAATATGACGGTAAAATCAACTTTGGTTTGTGGATGAGCGACGTATAGGATGCGCTCAATGCTCAGAAGTTGGAGGAGACCATCATGATCCACGAGAGACCACCAAAATATAAAGAGGCGATATGGGAAAAGATGAATAGGAACACTTGTGGGGTGATCAGGTCCTGTTTAGAATAGGAGCTGAAGTATGATGTGATTGGGGTGACGTCTGTAATGAAGATGTAGGAAACTCTCAACAAGAAGTACCTTACGAAGAGTGTTGAGAATCGGTTACACTTGCTGCATAGGTTATTCATATTTTAGATATCCAAAGGCACCTCGCTTGCGGCTCATGTGAACAACTATATAAAGTTGTTATCAGACTTGGCGAATGTTGATGAGAAGATATCGGATGAGTATAAGGCTATTATCTTATTGGGCTCCTTACCGGATGAGGAGTATGACACCTTTGTGCTCACTTTGTTGAACGGGAAATCTTCTATCAGCTATAGTGAAGTTACTAATGCATTGACGAATTATAATTTGAGGAGAAAGGACAAGGAGACTTCCCGTGCTAGTACTTCAGGCGAGGCCTTGTCGACGAGAGGTAGAAACCCATATACAAAAGATGGTAATAGAGGGAGGTCAAAGTCAAGAAGCCGCCACCAATTAGCAAAGAACCAATGTGCATTCTGCAAGGAGTAGGGACATTGGAAGAGAGACTGCCCAAAGCTCAAGGAGAAAGAGAATGGTAAGAAAAAGGGCCCGAAGGCCAATGATATGAATATTACGAAAGACGATGATTCCGATGATTCGAGTTTTTCTCTACTGATTACTCTGAAGGTGAACCACTTGGATGCTTTAGATTTGATGCTTGATTCCGGCGCTACCTATCATGTGACCCCTGGGCAAGATTGGTTGCATCTTTTGAGAAGCTCGATGGGGGTATTGTTGTCATGGAAAATGATCAATCCTATGGCATTTGTGGGATAAGTACCATGCGTATTCGGATGCACGATGGAGTAGTTCGTGAATTGAAGAAGGTAAGATTTGTTCCTCAGCTAAAGAAGAATCTTATCTCAGTTGTAGCTTTAGAGGCGAAGGGATTCAAGGTTACCTTTGAGGACGTTGTAGCAAAGGTTACAAAGGGATCCTTGGTGGTGATGAAGGGAGTCCACATTTAAAACTTGTATTATCTGAAGGGGAGCACCGACATTGGCCAGGTAGCTTCAGCTATTTCAGAGGCGGACATGAGTAGACTTTGGCATTATAGGTTGGGGCACACAGGAGAGAAGTCACTGCAGGTTTTGTGCAAGCAGGGGCTATTGAAGGGATCCAAGAATGGTAATGTGGAACTCTGTGAACACTGTGTTCTTAGCAAGAAGATGAAGGTGAAGTTCGGACTGTCCATTCATAGGACAAGGGACATCCTGGACTACGTGTACATAGACGTTTGGGGTCCCACCAAGACTGCATCACTTGGTGGTCGACATTGGTTCATCACGTTCGTTGATGACTATTCTAGGCGATGTTGGGTGTACACCATGAAGCATAAGAATGAAGTCTTAGATTTGTTTGTGGATTGGAAGAAGAGATTAGAACTACAAACTGGGAGAAAGATTAAGATGTTGCGATCCGATAACGGTAGTGAATATACTTCAGACCCCTTTCTGCAGCTATGTCGAGACGAGGGCATAGAGAGGCACTTCACGGTTAGTCATACACCGTAGCAGAATGGGGGTGGCAGAAAGGTTAAATTGGTCTTTATTAGAGAAGGTCCGATGCTTATTATCGTAGAGTGGTTTGGAGAAGATCTTTTGGGCTGAAGCACTTATATATGCGAGCCACCTCATTAATAGGCTGCCTTCATCTGTGATTGAAGGGAAGACCCCTATGGAAATGTGGTCGGGAGAGCCAACACATGACTATGACCAGCTCAAGGTATTTGGGTGCCCTGTATTTTATCATGTGAGAACAGATAAATTGGAACCTCAAGCTAGGATGGCCATATTTGTATGATTCAAGCGTGGTGTTAAGGGATACAAGCTATGGGATCCAGTTGATAGAAAGATCGTGCTGAGTAGGTACGTCACATTCTATGAGACTTCTATCTTAAAGATTCCCATCTCACATCAGGTGGAGAGCGACCCGATAGAGGAGATATTGCAGGTGGTGGAGATCGATGTAGCTCTATAGTGTCCATATGGTATAATATCCATTAGAGTACCGACTGAGGTGACACCAGGCGAACACAACGGTGACATGGAGGATACGAGTACTGATGTGCAGGATTAGGGACTAATAGCTTAGGTTCAGGATTCTATTGCGGTTCGGAGACAGAGGAGAGACATACGGATGCCAACATATTATGCCAACACAGTTACGTTCGCACTTCCGGTAGAGAGTATCGATGAGATGGTGCCTACTACATTCAGAGAGGCCGAGCAGAGGTCGGAGGTTGATTCGTGACAGGTGGTTATGCAGGAGGAGATGGAGTCTCTTCATAAGAACGATACGTGGGAGCTTGTTGATCTTCCAAAGGGGAGGAAGGCAATTGGTTGCAAGTGGGTATACACAAAGAAGGAGGGCATTGAGGGCACTCCATTAAGGTTCAAAGCTAGATTGGTTATGAAGGGCTATGCACAGGAGGAAGGTATTGACTATAATGAGATTTTATCTTCGGTGGTGAAGCACTCTTCGATTCAGATTTTGCTAGCTTTGGTGGCACAGTATGGTTTGGAGTTAGATCAGTTAGATGTGAAGACGATATTTCTTCATGGTGATCTTGATGAAGAAATATATTTGACTCAGCGATTGGGATTTTGAGCTGCAGGGAAAGATAAGTTGGTTTGCAGGTTGAAGAAATCGCGATACGGTTTGAAGTAGTCTCCTCGACAGTGGTATATGCAATTCGATGGTTTTATGATTGGTCATTCGTACACTCGGAGTTAGTTTGATCCTTGTGTATATTTTTGCAAGTTGAAAGGAGGTGTGTATATCTATTTATT